CCCCTCACACACTGACAACAGCGAAGAGATCGTCTCACTCTTTGGAGCTCAAAGCGGTGGGCTTTATTTCTAGCTAGAAATCTGGTATGAAGCCCTCCCATGTTAAGTTCACTGCAGATTAGCACAACATTTAAACCTGGCCAGTAAGGAGAGAAGCTAAGGCTCTTAAAAAGGCTGGGCCAGCGAAGAACATGGTCCACTGTGGTCCTGGCTGGCACCCCTCCATTGGAATGTCCCACACTGTTCCCCCAATCTCTTTCTTTTCCTGTATACTCTTTGCTATAGATGATACCACAGGCTACACAAATGTCCCAGACAGAAACCTGGGTGTCACCTTAAGATCCCCCTACTCTACCACTGCCTACAGCCCATCAGTGTATATTAACTTCGCCAAAATCCCGAGAACACACTCCTATTGTCTGCATTCCCACTGCCAGTTGCCTGGGTCCGATTTCATTTTCCTCCTCAATTACTGACATACTTTCCACCTTTCAGTTGGCCTCCAGCTGAAGCCCCTGTCTCCTTCTCACTTTGATTTATCCTCCACACCACTGCTAGGGTCCCATTTCCAGCGTGCAAATCAAACAGGTCATTCTGCTGCTGAGATTCCTTCAAGAGCGTCTACCAACCTCAGGACACACAAGCCAAAATCTTTCATGAAGCCTTGCATCTGGCTTCCCCCCTCCAGACCCCTTTCCCATGTGTCCTTAATGTTCAAGCCACAGGACCTACGTAGCCACACTGTCTCATGCTCCCACACTTGCTGTTCCCTCAGCGTAGAATGTCCTCCCCTCCTCTTCTCCATTTTCCTGACCTGTAATCATGCTCTGGGACTCAGCTCCAGGCCACTCTTCCTTTGGGAACATTTCTTGACTTCCTTCCACTTGATTTCGGGCCCACTATGGTGCCAGCTCAGACCCAGAGCAAGTCTCCAAGACAGGACATTTTCACAGCTGTGCACCTGCATCGGGTACCTGTTTGTTTCTCAAGTGACAGTGAGTCTACTGCGGCAGGAACAATCTCACCTCCGTCTCCCCAACAGCTAGTCCAAAGCCTCTCCCATCAGGTGCTCAAAAAGGTCAACTGACTTGAATGAGGACAAGGATGAAACCGGTTAATCAGTCTTTCTTCCCTTCTCTCTATTCCCATATAACATGGCCACATAACCCAGCAACCGCTCTGGCCTTTGCATAAGTCGTTAGTTGTTAGGTTTCTACATTTCTGAGGACACGATGTCAATACAAGGGAGAAAGTGTTTATTCTACCAACGGACTTCTCTTTCATATTTTCTCTTCTCTCTAGGGAATTATGGAAATGTCTTTATGTGCCCCTCTTGGCCGCTGTGTGCAAGAGAAAAGGTAAGAGAGAAGGTCCTACTCATGCGATGCTGAGGGAAAGGCGGACACTACGACTGAGTACAGACCCAGAGTCTGGAATCGTTCCCCTGGGAAACTCACAGTGAAGCTGTTGCAAAGAACAAGGACAACTGAACTTAGAAACCACAACCAGCATATTTAGTCCAAACATGTATAAGCAGTAGCAACACCCCCCCCGCCCCCAGGGAATGTTAAAGGGGGAAACTTCCATATTCCCATTCAGAACCTCACTTCTGTCCCTTAATTTCTAGTTGGGTAGCTGACCCCACTCTTCCCATGGCCTGGGATACTCGTCTGAGGTCCCTGCCCCAAGGGCCAGCCAATCCGTGCTTCGGAGCTGGCTTAAACCTTCAGGATGGGTATTTACTATAAAAGGAAAACCAAATCAAAGCAGGCAGATGATGCTGACCCTCTGAGAGCAGAGTTGGTCTACTTGGGCGAGAACTCAGTGAGAGTGCCCAGCAGGGAGTGCTGACACGGAGACAAAAAAAAAGGCCAAGATCGATGTTTGTGAGAAAATAAAAAGAGCAAGAATGCTGGGCCGTGAGCTTTATTTCACACTTTTGACCCGAGAGGCACATTCCTGAGGGACAATTCATTGCCAAATCTAGCTACTCTGTCTGGATGAAAAGGAAGAAATGGATGAACATAGTGTTTTAGCAAGGTACGCACGACTGTTGGCAAGAACGATGAATTCACACTAAATTAAACTCAATTACGGTGACTTTTTATTCTTTTCCCAAGGTGTGGGGTGAGGGCTGACATGCATCCCCTGGAGATTTGGAACAGCTCCAGATTCCACTATGGATTCCTTGTTGTTCTCGTGAACAGGCTGTTTATAAGCCAGAAGAACAGCAGATGATGGCGTCCCGAGGTGGACCAGCACATTGCATAAAAGGGCCGACACTCCTGCCAAAGGGCCTGGTCACGAGAAAGAAAGAGATGCGGATCCGAGAGGCCGTGCTGGCTCTTTTTAAAAGCACTTCACTGGATTTCATATTTCATTTCTCAGAAAGTATGAATTAATTTGGAAATTTAAACCAGCATCTGCTCTTGGACAGGGGACCCAAATGACACACTCCTGGGACAGGCTTGCTAAGGCTGCTTCTCTGGCACTCTCCTGGGGCGCTCTCTGAGCGGTGGCCTCCCCATGAAGACAAAGACCTCAAGGCAGCGCTGGGGGAGGGGCTCCCCGGTGTCCCTGACTCTGGCCCCTGACTCTGAAATGCTGCCATGTCCGGGTGTGGACATTTCCGCTGTGTGGCCATCGGCTGAGCTGAAAGTGTACTTCTCCGACAAACAGCATCCTTCATCGTCTCTCTCATTCCTTCCTTCCAATGTTTTGCCCTTTCATTGGCTAAAGGTTTTATACTTTAAATCCAAGTCCAATTAATTCTTCAGGAGAAGAACGGTTCAGTGGGTCAGCAGGAGGTGGACACACATAGAAGAGAGTCATTTAGTCAGCAAATTGCCCATTTTCTGGACGCACCCCTCAGGCCAATAAAGAAAGTTGTGGATATAAGATCTCGTCTGCGTCATTTTCTAACGGAAGAAGCTCTGAGGAGACAATTCTCATCAATTCCAAAGGAAGGAATCAAAGAAGCTCATCCAGTATACAGGACATTCCTCGAATACTGGAATATTTTGGCTTTTATTTTAAAGGAGGGATAGGACATTCACTCAATTTTTCTTTTATTTCTCCTTAAAAAAATGTGCTCTCTACTCATTTGTCACCTCAAAACACCAAAATGCTGCAAACACACATTTGCCTACTTTGAGAGAATGTCTAAGGTGTGCATAAGGCTTCAAAAAAAAAAAAAAAAAGAACAAAGAAAGAAACACAGAAAAAAGGGGAAGTGAAAGGAAGAAAACAAACCTCCCATGACCAGAGCAGCGGAACAAACATTCCTCCCTGGGAGAGGTCTGTATCCTGGCGAACTGCCTTCTCGCTGGACCTTCTTACCCTTCAGTACAAAGGCCAAGGTCTCCTTCCCAGAGTTACCAATAGGACCACACATACAATTTCCTGGAAGCATGCCACCCAGACAGCCTGCTTCACCTGGAAAGAAGCCAGCCAGGAGCAGTGGCTGACTCTGCCTCCCTTGGTCCCTCAGGTACTTCCACGCCCAGGGGCAGACGCCCTGCGGGCTTACCTAAAGCATGGCTGGGCCTCGCCTGCTACCCATCACCTGGGGCTCAGCTGCTTGAGCACATAACCATGTTGCATGAACTCAGAAATGGGTTTTGCTAAGTCTCCAAAATTATGACACATTTCCCCGAAAACTGGGAGAGAAAGAAGACACACATCCCCTTCATGGCAAAATGAGCCATTGTTTTTGCTAGCTGCAAACACCTTTAAAGACCCATTGGTGTCACCAGGGGAAATCATCAGGACACATCCCACTTGCTCTGGGCACCCAGCACAGGACCCTGGGGGTCAGTGGGGGGGGGGGTGGGACAGGGAGGACACAGGCCTGAGCAGCTTGGGAGGGACGGGCAAGGCCTGCGTGGGGAGTGTCTTCACATCAGCCTCACTCCATTTTCAGCCTGGTGTGCTTACAGTCGGCACCTTCCTGGGAAGTGTGGGTGTCCCTCTGTGCCAGGCTTCCATGGCAGGGAGGGGACTCGGTACAGGGCCTCCCATGTAAACACTGACCCCTTTCAAGGGAAAGAACAGAAACAGCAGAACCTCGGGACTGTTAATGCAAAGAGGGTACCGTCGGAGCCTCCCCCAGCCCCAGAGCCCCGGACACGTGACTAGTTATTGTTTCTCCTCTTAAATTGGTATTAGCGTGTCTCTGATGAGCATCTTTCCCTAAGGACTTCCCAGCCCTTGAATAACTGGCATCTAAAAATACAGAACACACGAATCCTCTTTGAATCTATCAAGGGCAATTTGGAAATCTCTATCTCCTGATGAGTATCTTTAGAACAGGGTAGATTTACAGGGCAATGTAGGAACATTTATTTATGCGGCACAAAGAGCCTTTATCATCTGTATGCAAACCTGTTATCAGGCTTAAAACACTGTCAGATATTCCCAGTGGTATTTTCATATCCCTTCAACAGATGCAGGGAAAAGGGTTGAAAGGTTTCTTTGGATATCAAAGGAAAAGGGAGAGAGAGAGGAAGCACTACTACAGTTCTGCATTAAGAAAGGTTTAAAAAAAAGATCCTGTGGTTTGTTTTGCTAAATTATTGACGGTTCCCCAGCCACAGCAGCACATGGCCGATGAGGTAGAAGGCCTCAGGGGCTCAGCACCTTTACAAACAGGGCAGATGGAGGAACGTACGTGCGAACAGTAGATCCTATCAGTGTTGGCTGTGACTCATTTGACTGTCTCAAGTCACTGCATTAAAAAAATAAATTAATTAAACAGGGCGTTGACCTCTCTTGCTCTGGTTCTCGCTTCCCAGGGTTTGGCAAGAAGCCCTGAAGGGGAACCCCGAGCCCTTTCCTCCAGGGTCAGCCCAGGAGCTCCGCAATGGATATTGGTCCAGTGTGCGGGCCTGGGGCCGGAGGTGGGCTCCTTCTCTCTTGCTGACTCCTTCTCTTTTTACCCTTCTGACTCCAAACAAAGGGAGGGGCTCTGTTTCCCAGTGGTTGCTCATCCAGTCACTCACCTTTCATACCACTACCTTCTTCTTGGAATGTGTTACGAGCAGTGGTCTGATCTTCTAAGTGTTCACTCCCACCACTTCCTGAAGAGGCTACACTGCTTTGTGGAGACAGGGGGGCATGATCGGATGGGAGGCACTGGGGTCCTCTAGCTCGCAAGTCCTCATGAGACATCCATCCATGTCCTAGAGGCTGGTTTGGCACATTCATGGGTGGGGTAAGGGACACAGATCGTTTCAAAGGGCTGTGGTGTGCCTGGCCTGAGAGAACTGGAAAAAAAAAATAAAATGAAATAGGTTATTCCCCCCCCTTTAGCCTGGGCCACAGAAGGACCCACAATACCCCTGAGAGATCCTCTAGCTGTCTCGCAACGCCATCAGTGGTCACAGAGCGTGCCTACGGGCCCAGCCTGGCCCTTCCCATTGGGCTGGATTAAAAGGATCCTGTCCGGACCTCTTGGTGGGTTGGGTTTCTCCAAGGAGGCTACACCTTGGGCGCTATAGCGCCCACATATGTGACCCTAGCCTTTGTGCACGGGGAGCTGGTTTTAGTCCTAATGCTAGAAATCAGGATTCGCAGCAGCAGGCTCATTAATCAGGAGACTCGACAGCCTGGCAAAGTGGCCGGTCATCTGCTAAGGATGAAAAAAAAAAGTGTTGGACAATTTTTTCAAATGCACAAAAGCTGACATTACCCATGTCGTCAGGGTGGACTTCCCGACCAGAAGGGACCTTTTCTGGACTGACCTGGAAGAAGGTGGACTAGTCCTTCCAACCAAGATTGAGGGGACTGTCACCTCTGAAGGGGGTGCAGGCTCAGCAAGGGCCCCAATTCTAACATGGATCCCAGGGACTGGAACATGGGCAGCTGCGCGTGAAAGGGTCGATTCTTCCCCATGGCTCCACAGGTCAATGCCAAACTTTATATTGAAAACACTGCCAGGTAACAAGGCTTTCATTCAGAAGCCGGTGGGGGGCTCGGGTAAGCTGGGAATGGTTTTCAGCAGCATGTTCAGCCCTCTGCACAGTGGGCAACATCTGCATGGCCCCCTCTTTTAATTTCTTTTCCAGAAAACTAGGAAAAAAGCAACAAAACTCACATAACTGGCCAAATTAAATTGAGGTCATTCAAGGGAGGGATTTCACAAAAATCAACGCCGAGGGAGCCGACGGTGCCCTCGGTTGGTTTTTCTGGGTGTGTAAAGTGACAACTTTACAAAGGACGTCTATTCATAACATTCTCTCCACACGGGCCCCTGACAGGTCCAGTTTGTTTTGACTGCTGCAGGAGTAACATGGACTTGAGCCACATGCGTTTTTAAACATTTTTCAGGGAAGCCAGTAAGTTCCACCTCAGGCTCTGCCCGCTCCAGCGAGGTGTTTGCTCACCCAAGTCCGGATGAGCGCGTCTCTGCTGGTGTGAATCTTTCTGTGGTTTGGGGGAAGCAAATCTGACGTCCCTGCATAGGAAGTTCTGCTTTCTGTTAAACTGCATTTCTGGTGGGGCAGTACCCCCACATACAGGCCTGGGTAGCAGGTTACCTCACCCCACTTAAAAAGATGAACACCAGAGCCAAAAAAGCCTGGGTGTTGTCAGAAAGTGTGTTCAGGGCAGTAACGGTGTGGGCTGGCTGCTCGTGACCAGCGACATTAACCAGGCCCTCAGAGCAATGGGCTCACAACCCTATTGTCAATATTTCCATTTGGTTCGTGTGGCCAGAAGGGCAGCCTTGTGTACGAAAGGGGCATGAGCAGAAGATCTAGAAACTTCTTTATTAACCCCCCCCCCCAAAAAAAAGAGAAAAAAGAGGGGGGAAGGGAAAAGGAGATGCTAAATTTAATATTTGTAATCTGAAAAATTCCTAATTTGGGCAGAATCTATCAAAAGCAAGGACTTATCATCTAACTTAAAAATATGCAAAGGGAACATTAAAAATTTTTTTGATCCCAACAGGCTGAAACAGCTTGTATTTCCACTAAACAAAGTCAGGAAGAAACAATTTTAAAAGGCTCCCTGGAAAATGCATTGCTACTTGGTTGGATCAGAATTAGCAAGAGAAAAGGGGAAGAAAAAGCAGGAAAAGAAAAAAATAAATAAAAAGGAAGCAGCAGCAAAAATGAAGAGAGAAGCCAATAGGAAGAAAAGCCAGACATCCAGAAAATCCATTTCATGCCTGTCTAAGTATTTATATAAACTTGGGTGGACTTTGTTAGGGCTGCCCAAGTGCTGGAACATTTCAGCTTAGACGCCTTTGCTTTCTGCTCCTTCTGCAGCCATTTCAGAATATCTGGTGAAGGCTCTGAATGGTGCCAGCCAGGTGTGCCCCAGCCAGGTGTGGCCCAACTGGGCATGGGGGTTCCCCTTCATGGCCAGGACTGGAGTGAGCCCGAAGCCACAGCAATGGGCCTTGCTGACGAGAGAGAGAGAGAGAGAGAGAGAGAGAGAGAGAGAGAGACGCAGCTGGGAGCTGGTGGAACCCTTTGCACTGGGCTGGTTAGAAGTGATAACTGAATCCATAGCCCTAGGTGGTAACACTGCTAAGGTCCTTTGGATGCTATGAACAATACCATGTGTACATAGTAACTGAATGCTGTTACTGGATGGGGCCAATTTGCTTCTTTCCATCTAAAGTTTTCTTAAGGTCCTTGCTCTGCCAACCCCTGCCGCTGCCAATTGATGGACTTCCTAGGGGAAGCTGTGAATATCCGAGGAACCCACTGGCTTCTTAGAATGGGACTAAATGTTTGCCCAATTTAACAGGATGTATAGGCATTTAGTCATTGAAATCTATACCCATTTCCTCGTACATTCCTGAGTTTGACAGAAGTCACAGGGGATATGCTATGAACTTGGCCTCTGCATCTAATAAAAAATCAGTTGTACCTCAGGTGCCAAGGCCTTTTCCCAGTGACTTTCTACTAAAGGGCCCCCTCTCTGCCTAAATCATAAACATCCCCATAGCTGGCACCAAACTCAGCAATGTCCCCTCAGCATCAGCCTCCCACAGCAACCAAGGAAACTGTCTCACACCAAACTTGTGATCTTCAGAGGGGGCCATGGGGTTGGAGCCAGGCTGGACCCCACACCTAGATCAGAGCATCACGCTGGGCAAACGCCTGATTTCTTTAAAGAGAACCGAGGCCCCGAGACAATCCAGGTTTGTCTCCCCGTGGGAAGGAAATGAAAGCAGGTGAAAGGGCGACCAGCCAACAGGCCCTCTTTGGGGTGAAGACAAATCTTCAGCTAGAGGTGACAGTGCCCTTGAAGCCAATTTCAATGTTGCTTTGTGTGCTGGAGTACTTTGTTTGGCATAAAGTAGACAAAGTGGCGGAGGGAGCACTGAATGCCCACAGCAGTGAGATTGCAAGGCAGCAGGCCACGGCCCTGTGGGACTACCGAGGTGGCCAGTGCACGGGCCCAAGGGTTTCCTCACTGCTCCGCATTTATTGTTTTCTAACCGAGAAAACTCATCCGAAGTGGTGACAATAGAGGGCGAACTGATATTCAGGCAAAAATAAATAAACAAATTCCCTGTCCTGTGAGAAGGAGGGAGAGAGGGGGAAGAGACCCTCTGAGCAGCTTTTCGGCGCTACGTCGGCTGCCCCAGAACGACTCCAGCTGGGGGCAGACCTTTTGAATGTTCCCGCGTCTGGACTGCACTGCAGCGGACAGTGGCACTGCCTCGTTCTGATTTAAGCAGCCCCAGAGTCACAGTCTAACAAGCAGAATTAAGTCCACTTGAAAAAAAAAATCTCAGTGTAGACTAGCAATCAGCAAGTTCCAGTAGAACCGAGGTGCACATGCGCATTGCATTCGTGACCCTGTAACTGTGAGAGCGAAGGGCGTAGTTTAGGGCGGATCCATCAGATCGAAAACCATTCTAAATGTCACTCAGGGACGCAAAGTCGTGCCTCTTTTGCTCTGGAAAAACTGAAGCTAAAACTTCATATCATGCACAGTATAGATTCAATATTCCTCATATTTTTAGAAATCTCTATAAGAAATTTTAGGTACATACATGTGTATGTATGCGTATGCATGTACATGTATATATGTCAGCAGAATATTGTCATTTTGGGGACACTTATAAATTCAAGTGAACCAAAAGTAAATAATAACCAATGAATAAGTCTAACTTAAATATGGAAAAGCAGCTAAAAATGAAGTGCGACGTGAGTATACAGGGTCTATAATCTGGCAGTGAAGTCTGCCCTGCCATCGGGGCCGACTGACTTCTCCACCCTCATCAGACCTGATGATCTCTCTTTTATCTTCAAGCATGTTTAGTGTGATTCCTTTCAAAGCCTTTTCTGGGGAAAATCCGATACCTGGTTCTGGGTTCTGTTAAGTATTTTCTTGAGAGCCTGGAAATCTATTTCTTTCCCATTTTCTCTGACCAACTTTGACTTCTGTCTCAATTTGTAATTAGTGAAATAAGATTTAGGAAACAGCTTTTTAGGGTATTTAGTGCTCTTTTAAGAAAATTAGGCAGGACTGCTTTTTTCTGCCTTCTAAGATGACAAAGACCAGGGTTGGTAGAAAGAGGAAGGCCTGGGAAAGTGGCCCCACTCTCTGTGGCTCAGCATTGGGCTAAGTGCTGTACCTCACTGTCAAGGAGGGCAGCGGTCCCCAAAGCAAAGACAGCAGATAACTGAAGCTTGAGTCTCACACCAAACTCTATCCTAACAAACTGTAAAGGAGGTCTTTTAAAGACACATTACATATTTTTCTGCTCTCTTTAAATTCATACACTGAATGCAACTTATGCTTTAAAAATTATTATTATGAGCCCTGGTTGGTATGGCTCGGAGGATTGAGTGCTGGCCTGACAACCGAAAAGCTGCCATTTCGATCCCCAGTCAGAGCACATGCCTGGGTTGCGGGCCAGGTTGGGGGTGTGTGTAAAGCAACCAATCTCTGTGTCTCCTGAACATCGATGCTTCTCTCCCTCTCTTTCTCCTCCCCTCCTTTCTTTCTAAAAAATAAGTAAAAATAAAATCTTTAAAAAATAATTGTTATGAGCATAGATTCATACCATTTTAGAACTGGAAGCCCCTGAAAGACGACATAATCCAGGAATTCCCAGGTTGTGGGCTGTGGGCCCCTGGGTTATAGAAGAGCTGAGAACCCTTATGTGCACCCAGCCTCCTTAGCAGATAAAATACTGTGCTACAATGGTTTTTATATGTATGCAAAGGCTGTTAGAATTAATAAAAGATAAATTTAATGTTGCTAAATTTATACCACTCTTTGTCATTTTTCATCAGCA